CATCCCCTGCCCACCTCCCTGACTTCTCCCGGTGGAGGCTGGACAATCTGGGAACCTGTCTGTGTGTGCCACTGTGATGGGGTGGCTTGGAGGGCAGGGCCTGGGAGCCAGCTCCTCCCAGAAAGCTTCCGTTTGCCCAGGTGTGTGGAGACCTCCAGGCTGCAAAGCACCTTGATGGCCACAGCTCTCCAGGACGTCCTCACCTTCCTCAGGGCCCTGCCCTCCTGACCTGGAGTCTTCTGGGTAGGAGCGTCCTTGCCGGGGCTGCTCCCAGGACAGGGACGGGGAGGCTGTGAGAGCCATGGCACTGCACTGGGTCTTGCTGGGTGCCACCTGTGTCACAGGCCCTGTTAGCTGGGTGGAGCCTTCCAGAGCCAGGACCCCACGGTACCCTCAAACTCTGGGCAGCTGCCAGAGGCTCGGGTGTTCGGCAGACACTGTCTGCCCCTCAGGGAAGAGCCTTGGTGGTGAGCCTGGCCTGCTTCCAGGAGCAGAGTAGGGATACTTGGGCCATTTCCCTCTGGGGCCTGACTCTGGCGTTTCCAAGACTGCTTCTCTGACAGCTGGCTGTCTCCCTGTGTTCCCTTTAGCAAGCTCCTCCCGAGCTTGGATAAACTGCAGGAGCGAAGGGGCTGACTGTGTGTAGGGATGCGGTTGAAAAAGTCGTTGCGTCTACTCCGGGCTCTCCTGCTGGAGGAGACAGGCTTGCACGTGCCTGTCGGCGCAAGCGTTGAAGCTCAGACTTGATCTCTTAGGAGAGATGGTGCGTTCCGTCCGGCAGGTCCTCTCGTGCTTGGGAACACAGGAAGCGGGGAAATGAGGAGGTGGGCTTGGAGGTGTGGGGAGCTGTGCTGGCTGTCCTGGGAGGCTGTCTGCCCGCTGTCAGTGGCCAGCTCCCCGGGTGATGGGCCTGGCCTCCAGGTCTCCAGCATGGCTCGCTGTGGTGTCTCCTGAGGGCTTCCTCTCTGCAGGGAAGCCCACCCAAGACCCCTCTTACTGGTCCTATGGGGCAGCTGCCTCCGTAGCATCCTCATCTACACCTGACCCCTGCAGGGTGCCCGGTTCCTCCCAGCAGGGTGCTCCCTGCTGCAGTGTGGGGTGCACAGAGGTGGGCAGGGCCCTGGGGCCAGAGCTCCGGTTGGTGAAGGAAGACAGATCCCAGCCAGGGCTCCTTGGATTGCTCAGCAGTAGGAGGTGGCCCCTCCTGCCCAGTCCCACCCAGGACACAGGCTGGTGGCTGGGCTTTCAGCTGTGCCCAGCTACCCTTCCCAGAGCTTGCAGAGTTTATGAGCTGGCTCTTGTGAGATTAGGAGCTGGACACCTAGTGTCTCCAGCTGAGGAGTAAACGGGGTGAAGGTCCTGTCCTTGTGTGCACACTGTGGGAGAGTGAGTCTGGGAGGCCTTTGCGGCTTGTGCTGGGGCCCTTGGGTGCCAGCCCTGTCTTGATGGTGGCTCCTGCTGAGAGAGGCCCTGCACCAATGCGGGCCCTGGGCTGCCTCCCCCTTAAGGGTCCTTGTCATCTTCTGGGCTCCTTCAGCCGACCGGACACAGGGGCAGTGCAGGGGAGGGGCTTGGGGAGCTCCTTGGCAGCTCCAGGGGATGCTTGTGGGCGTTGGCTTACCTTGTCTCAGGCTGCCTTGCTCAGGTGACGACAGGGTGGGTGGATTTGGGAAAGGTTGGCTCAGATAGTGGTCCCTGCTTGTCCCCCAGGGCCTGCCTGGGCTCCAGCTAACAGTAATCCCAAGAGCTCCCCTTTCAGGGGATGACGGAGTGATGCCGCCTCGAGCGTGTGGACTCAGCTGCCACCTGGGATTGTGGTGGTGGCGGGTCTGTCTGGCGCTCAGCTTCCGTCTCCATCAATGTCACCTCCACGCCACCTCGCCAAGCCAAGCAGCTTCTGGAAAGGCCTTCTGCCGGCTCGGGCTGCCCTGCTGCTGTGTCTGACCCGGTTAGTCTTTCTGTCTGCCTCTAACCTTGCTACTTTTCCTTCATGCTGTCCTAGGAGGCCAAAGCAAAGTAAGTACCCACCTGTCCTCATGCCCCATTCCCCTTCATTTGACCAGGGAACCCCCAGCCATCACTGTACCCAAGGGAACCCCAACACCACCTGTGCATGACCCAGCCTGCCCAGAGGGGCTGCGGTTTCCCATCTGTAAAGTGGAGGAATTGGGTTTTCTGGATGGGGCAGCAGCAGGTGGGCACCCTATGTGGCCCTAAGCAGGGTCCTGGCCTGGGCTGGCAGGTCAGCACCCGACACGCTGCTCCCTGTGGGGAAGTGGTGGCAGTGCCAGGTCTCGGTAGGAGCCTTAGAAGTGGCTTCCCCTCGCTGAGTGGCAGCTTCTGCCCGGAGCCCCCAAGAACATAGTCTGAGGCCACCTTGGCCAGTAAAGTCTGGTAGGGCATTGGCACTGGTGGCCAGCTTAGTGGCACTGCTGATGGGACCTGCACTGTTCCGTGGGATCAGAGAGACTGGCAGGGGTCTACCGCACGATGTCACAATGCCCTGTCTCCTGGGCTCTTGCTCCCACCTCCAACCCCCAACCCCCAACCCCTGCCTCTGCCCATCAGCCTGGTCTTGGTAAGTGCTGCCCCAGCCTGGGGGAGGAGTGAGCAGGGGAGCCGAGGGGCTTCTTCATGGGCCCTGTGGCCTCCTGGCCCTGGTTCCTTGTTGGTGCCATTAGAACTCATTGCTGGAACTGAGGGCTTCTGGCTACATGCCCGGAAAAAACTCCATGTTCCACTTAAGAGGCTTCAGAGTGCAGTGCGGGGGGCTTCCCAAAGGTCCTCCCCGCCTGGGTGGAGTGTAGACAGCTCAGCACCCCACTGGAGGCATTGGAACCTGCCTTGGTTTTGTTGAGTAAGGGTGTTAGGAGAGGGGTGTAGACCCGTAGCCACTGGTGTGAAGGGTCTGTTCTTGACCGAAGGCTGCCTCCCTCTGGGTGAAGACCAGGCAGGTGGTCCCAGTCACGTGCCCTGAGGCCACTGGATCTGCCTTCAGGCTCCACTAGACACATTTGTGGAGGCAGCTGACTAGCAGCAGTGTCCGTGAGGGGCGGCTGCACGCCCCCTCTTGAGGGTGCTCCTAGGTGTTGGTTAGACCCAGGCGTTTCTGCTTTTGGGGAGCAGAGCCTGGAGTCGGGCATGGCTGGGGAGGAAGATATCGCAGGCCGAGCGCGGGCTGGGGCGCTGACCTGTATCCCAAGAGCAGATTTGCCCCTGGCCTTCTGGGTCTGTCCTTTCTGTAACACCACACTGGACACCTGGGAGCAGAGCATGCCCCCAGCAGGATCCCACATGGCTGCTGGAGCACTGGGGCAGCAGATGACTGAGGTTGCCCAGAGCTTGAGGGAGCACCTCATCCAGGGAGGAGGCTGAGGCTCCCAGGCCTCATTGGGGGTAGCAAGTAGGGGTGGAGCCTCACAGCCTGCCTCCCACCAAGATGGTCCCTCTTACATCACACAGAACCCAACCTGAGAGGGGACCCTGATGTCCTGGGACTGTGAGATCCCCATGATGCCCCTTTAGCTTGGATGGACCCAAAGATAAGGACTCCAGTTGGGAGGCCACGGCGGCTGATAGAGAGCCCAGAGCCGTCTCAGTGCTCCAGGCGCTTGGCCCCTCCTTTCTACACACTGGTCACCAGCATCCTCCCTGGCGAGTCCCGTTGATGTGACCCTTCACGACTGGGCACTCCACCCTCTGCCCAGTCACCTGGCCCCCTCCCGGGGAGGACAGTCAGGCCCACAGAGAGGCTCCCTCTTTTTTTTTTTTTTTTTTTCTTTTTTTTTGAGACGAGTTTCCTGGAGTGCAGTGGCGAACTCTGCTCACTGCAAGCTCCGCCTCCCGGCTTCACGCCATTCTCCTGCCTCAGCCTCCGAGTAGCTGGGACTACAGTCTCCCACCACCACGCCCGGCTAGTTTGTTTTGTGTGTGTGTGTGTGTTTAGTAGAGACAGGGTTTCAACGTGTTAGCCAGGATGGTCTCAATCTCCAGACCTTGTGATCCATCCGCCTGGGCCTCCCAAAGTGTTGGGATTACAGGGGTGAGCCACCGCACCCGGCTGAGGCTCCCTCTTTTCTAAGACCTTTGAGTGTGCTCTGGGTGTGGTACTGGTGTGGCCAGGACAGCCACAGAGGCCATTCTGTAGGATGGGAACACCAGCCACCACAGTGGGGTGGCCAAGCCTGTCCTATGCAAAAATGCAGAGAAAGCCAGTTAGCCAGTTAAAGCCTACTTCAGATAAATAATGAAAAATTTTATAGTATGAGTATGTCTTAGATATTTCATGGGCCATACGTTCACTTTAAAAAGGTATGTATTGTTCATGTATTGGGAGGCACTTGGCCTCCCAAAGTGCTGCGATTACAGGCATGAGCCACTGCACCCGGCCTGTTTTCTCTTTACAACAAAGCATCCCCCACATGGGCTTGACTTTCAAGTCCTTGAATGTCATCTCATGAAAGCCCCACTGGGGAGCATCCTCAGCCCCTGCCCTGGGAGGGCAGCCACGGGGAGGGTGGGCACGGGGCCACGGCCACCCGCAGTGTTGCAACTCTGCCCTCTGCTTGCTTTTTATCGCTGTGTCCGGAAGATGAGGAGCGGGAAGGCCTCCTGCACCCTGGAGACCGTGTGGGAAGACAAGCACAAGTATGAGGAGGCTGAGCGGCGCTTCTACGAGCACGAGGCCATGCAGGCGGCCGCCTCCGCCCAGCAGCTGCCAGTCGAGGGGCCAGCTATGAATGGGCCCGGCCAGGACGACCCTGAGGACACTGATGAGGCAGAGGCCCCTGACGGCAGCAGCAGGAGTGATCCCAGGAAGAGCCAGGACGGCAGGAAGCCCCTGCAGAAAAAGAGAAAGCGCTCCCCCAAGAGTGGGCTCGGCCCGGCGGCCCCGGCCCTCCTGGGGCTCTCGGCCGAACGCGTGTGGCTGGACAAGAGTGGTCTCGGCCCGGCGGCCCCGGCCCTCCTGGGGCTCTCGGCCGAACGTGTGTGGCTGGACAAGTCACTTTTCGACCAGGCAGAGAGCTCCTACCGCCAGAAGCTGGCAGATGTGGTTGCCCAGGCAGCCCAGCCTCCTGCCTTGGCCCCTTGGGGTCCCTGCACCCATGGAAGCCAGGTGGCCTGCCACCACGTGACCTGGGGGACCTGGGTCAACAAGTCCTCCTTCGACCAGGCTGAGCGGGCCTTTGTGGAGTGGTCTCAGTCCCTGTTGCTGGCTCCCGAGGGTGGCCACAGGCAGGGGACTCCTGACACGGGCCAGCAGGCGGCCGTCCCCAACCCGGCCCACCAGCCCAGCCCACCGGTCAATGGCCAGCCGCCGCTGGGCAGCCTGCAGGCACTGGTCCGGGAGGTGTGGCTGGAGAAGCCCCGGTATGATGCAGCCGAGAGGGGCTTCTACGAGGCCCTGTTTGACGGCCATCCCCCGGGGAAGGTGCGCCTGCAAGAGCGAGCTGGCCTGGCCGAGGGTGCCCGGAGGGGCCGCAGAGACCGGCGGGGCCGCCACGTCTTAGGGAACAAGCGGGCTGGGCCGCGGTGGGCCGACGGGGAGGCCCCCTCCGCCTTGCCCTACTGTTACTTCCTGCAGAAGGATGCAGAGGCCCCCTGGCTCAGCAAGCCTGCCTACGACAGCGCTGAGTGCCGCCACCATGTTGCCGAGGCCCTGCGCATGGCCTGGTGCCTCGAAGCTGCCTCCCTGTCTCACCGACCCGGTCCTCGGTCTGGCCTGTCCGTGTCCAGCCTGAGACCCAAGTAGGAGAAACGTGCTGGGTGGGCACCCAGCCTGGGCTGTGGGCACAGGGACAGCCGTCCCAGGCTGGGGCTCCTCCAGCTTCCTCCCCTGCCCACCTGGGGTGGGGGCTCCCCGAGACCTTGGGCCCAGCTGAGTTGAATGCAGCAGCAGGCTGAGTAAAGGTGGTGCTGTGCTTGGGCAGTGTGGGTTCCAGGGACACTGCTTGGGGTTACAAAGTTCTGGGCTGTCTGGATGGGGGCAGGGAAGGGGTCAACACAAGGCAGAATCTCTGCCTCGCCCAGGGTCCCTCTTGGGCTGGGAAGCTCCCCGAGTCCCCTGTGGCTGTCACATGCCAGGGCTGAGAAGACAAGGCTACCCATAGGAGCAGGAAGCATTGAAGCTGGTTTCTGGCCCTAGCTCTCCCATGTGATGAGACGTGGGAGCCAGTGTGTCCCTGCCTGCCCGTCCTGGGCACCCCCAGCTTTCCTTGTCACCTGAAACTACCTCTGAGGGAAGGTGGTGGCATCTCAGATGCATGGGCATGTGGCTGGTCAGGTGGCCCCCATCCCAGGGTGCCCGGTCTGTGTGACCTCCCTCTGGGTGCTGGGGGCTTGCTCCAGGGTGCAGGTGCAACCCCAGCAGCGGTCTCTGGGGCCAGGCAGGTGGGTAGGCGATTGGACGTGGAAGGGAATACAGAGGGCATGGAAGTGGCGAGGCTGGCCTGCTGGCGAGGGCGTCCTGGTGGTGGGGCGGGCTGAGTCAGCGAAGGACTCTGAAGGTCCCAGCCGCGTGTCCCAAGCTGCTGCCTAAGCCCCCAAGGAAGTGGTGCCAATCTTGGACCCCCAGGGGTCTGGATTTGCTGGTTGACAAGATCACCTGAAGGCGGGACCCCATGGGGGAGTGCTAACCTCCTGCCCTTCCACCTGCCCTGGTATTCACGGTGGCCTGGTCCCTCCTCGCCAGGGAGTGTCCCGGGTGAGGGACGCGGGGGAGGCTCACAGACTCCAGCCCTTTGTTACCGAGACGACACTTGACGAGGTCCAGCGATGGTCCGGAGTCCACACAGCCTGGCGGCAGAGCGGGATGGGGCCAGTTCTGATGTACTTGGTTGGACAGTAGGAGGGTCTTGGCCAGTCCAGGGTGGGAGGCAGCGAACTCCATAAAGAACCAGAGGGCCTGGGTGCCGGCCACAGAGTCGTCTGCCCAGCTCCTCTGCTGCCGGCCAGTGGGAGGAGCACGAGGTGGGGCCGTGTGCCAGTAAAACCACGGGCTGGGTTTGCCTGTGGGCCATAGTCCCTGTCTAGGGCACCCATTCTCGACCTTCTCGCTCTCAGGACCCCAAACAGCTTTCATTGTACCTATTGATTTTTACCACATTAGCAATTAAAACTGAGAAATGGGCCGGGCGCGGTGGCTCACGCCTGTAATCCCAGCACTTTGGGAGGCTGAGGCGGGTGGATCACCTGATGTCAGGAGTTCAAGACCAGCCTGGCCAACATGGTGAAACCCCTTCTCTACTAAAAATACAAAAAATTAGCCAAGCACAGTGGTGCACACTTGTAGTCCCAGTTACTCGGGAGGCTGAGGCAGGAAAATCACTTGAACCCAGGAGGCGGAGGTTGCGGTGAGCTGAGATCACACCACTGATTCCAGCCTGGGCAACAGAGTGAGACTCCCGCTCAAAAAAAAAAAAAAGAAATGCTAAGTGTAATTGTTTGTTGAAGAAGAAACTCGTTACATATTACTAACTTTTTTTTATGAGAAATACTTTTCCCATAACCAAAAAATTCAGTGAGCAGAATGGCCTTGCTTGAGATTTTTGCAAATCTCTTGGGTGTCTGGCTTAGTGGGAGGCAGCTGGGCCCTTGTACCTGCCTCCGCACTCCAGCTGTTTGACATAAACCCAGCTTCATGTGAGTGAAAGGGTAGGGCCTTGGGACCCCCAGAGGTTCTTGGACCACACTTTGAGAACCCCTCGTCTGGAAGACAGGCCTGGGGACGCCATGTGGGGTGAGGGCTTACGGGCTTGGTGTCGCTTTGTGGAGAACCACCGGTGTTTGAAGTGGGTGTCAGCCCTGCCGCACCCTGGTGCTTCTGAGCTGTTCTGACGGGGGTCTCTGTGGGGAAGGGTGAGGCCAGGGCTGTCTCGACCCCACTTCCCAGCCGTGTTGACTTTGCCTCTTTCCCCTCCCAGCAGAAAAATGGCTACAAACTTCCTAGTACATGAGAAGATCTGGTTTGACAAGTTCAAATATGACGATGCAGAAAGGAGATTCTACGAGCAGATGAACGGGCCTGTGGCCGGTGCCTCCCGCCAGGTGAGGGCTGCATGTGGGGTGGCTGGGTGGCTCTGCTGCCCAACAGGAGTGGCTGGGGCACACGAGGAGGGTTCAGCCAGGTTAGGAGGGCGGAGGCACCCTGGCCCAGTGGCTCTGCTGTGGGTGCTGGGCGTGGGGTCTTGGGGCAAGGCCGGGCCCCCGGGGCTGGGTCTGCTCAGGGCCCTCCTGCTGGTGCCTGTGCAGGTGGCATGGGGCCAGGCCTGGCACTCGTTCCCCGCAGACATGGGCGCCTGTGCCTGTCATCACAGCCTCAGGCACCCCCCACTTTTCTGGCCCGCTGAGCTCTCGTTCTGTGCAATACTTTCTTGCTGTCTCTATGTGAGGGTTCATGGGGTTTTTTGGTTTGTTTTTTAATTAAATTCTTTTTTACTAAAAAAAAAAAAAGACTGGTTCTTTCTGCACTGTCTGCAGGAGAATGGCGCCAGCGTGATCCTTCGCGACATTGCGAGAGCCAGAGAGAACATCCAGAAATCCCTGGCCGGAGTGAGTACCCGCGGCCCACGGACCCGCGGGCTCCTGCTCGGCCAAGTAGCATGTCTCATTTTTCCTGATGCTGCTGGTGGTTTGGCTTCACAGCAGAGTCAGGGCGGAGTGCACAGCGCTGTGCTCCTGGGGCGTGTGGCTCTGTGGCCTCCAGGCCCGGACTGCCATGGACAATGTTCTTACTCTCGCGTCCCTCCTGTGCTTACCTCTTGTCTGCCTGCTGGCGGTCACACTGGCCGTTCCTGCGGGGCCGGCTGGGAGCTGAGTGGTGCCATTCGCAGGGTGTGCTGTGGGCGCCTGCTGTGAGGGCCTGTGCTTCCCTGCTTGCTCCCCGTGGCAGGACTGTGTGTCTGCCGGGGCTTCCTGCGTTCCCTCTTAGATCTTGCCTCACTGGGGAGAGAAGTAGTGGTTCTGCAAGGTGCGAGGCGTTCTGAGCCTAGAGTTGGCACCATCTTGAGTTGGAGACCCAGAGAGGAGCCCTGTAGCCCTGCTTGGCCTCCAGGCCCCGGGCTGAGATCAGGAGTTGGAGGCAGTGGCTGCAGCCTGACAGGCTGGTTGGGGAAGGGTTGTCCTCTGGGAGGTGGCAGCCCTGGTATTCCCAAGGAGTTGGGGCTGCATTCTCCCTGGGTTGGGATAGTGTCCTGGCCCCGAGAACGGGGTCAGTGTTTCTGTGGCTGCTGCTGTGGCTTTCCACAGCTTCACACTGGAAACAGTACATATGTATCATGCCAGGCTTCCAGGCCAGAAGTCTGAAATGTGTCTCACGAGGCTGACCCCAGTGTCAGCAAGGTAGCCATCCTTCCCAAGGCTCAGGAGGAGTCTGTTCCTTTGCCTCTCCCAGATTCCAGTGGATGCCCACATTGCTTGTTTCGAGGTGGCCAGCAGGCAACCTCGTCACCGCCGCCTCCACTTTCATCTCACGCCTCTCTCCGAGCCTCCTTCCTCCCTCTGTCACTTACATGGTTATTGTGTTTGCTTTGGGCACGCCAGGATCCCAGGTCCAGGATGTTCCCCACCTCAGAATCCTGAGTTTAATCATATTTGCTGATTCTTCTTTTTGCCACGTCAGGTAGTGGATTTGCAGGCTCTGGGGGTTGGGACGTGGCTGTCGGAGATTCTCATTGCCTCATTCGTAAGGTGCATTGCTCTCCACCAACATCTGCAGAAGCCTGGGTCCCCCACAGTGTCCCTCCAAAGTCCAGAATCCCATCCAATCAGGCATGGGGGATTGCATGGTCCATCCTGAAGCAAAATTCCTCTCCATCTGTGGACCAGTGAAACTGGAAAACAAATTATCTGTTCCCAAAATACAATTGTGGGACAGGCATTCCCTTTAAAAATGGGAAAAAGAAGAAGGAAACAATAGGGTGTCACTAGTCCCCGGCAGTCACAGTCCAACCCGCGGGTCGCATGAGGTTTGAAGGGCGCACTCCTGTGTGGCCCATGGTCCCCCCCACTGTCATTTTTTTTTTTTTTTTTTTTTTGAGACGGAGTCTCGCTCTGTGGCCCAGCCTGGAGTGCAGTGGCCG